CACACACACACACACACACACACACACACACACGTAGATGCCAGAATGCTGCTTCCCCTATGGCAGTCTTGGGTCCTCTTTCTTAATTCCATACCAGCTATCCCTGGGCTTCAGCTGAACAAACATTGAGAAGCAGCAGTTAGGAAGCATAAGGCTCAGCTAATGCACTCCAGAAGCACGGGGTGCCGCACCAAGTCCCCCAGCCCAGAGGTCCTACAGCCGCATGGTCAGAGCCATGGGAACAAGGCCTACCACATCGACGTGGATTCAGTTTTGGTAGCAACAAAGTGCTTCAGAAAAAATACACAAAACCCTGGTTTGTCGATGGACAGTGGTTTCTGCTTCCCAAGCTGTGGTAGTCTGATTCTAAGATGCTCCCCCAGATTCCTGCCCCTGGGGATCCCCCAGATTCCTGCCCTGTATAACCCCTCACCTGAATGTGGGTCAGACTAAGAAAGATGATGGGGTTTCACCTCGTTATGGAGTTTTCTCATCAGCTGACTCTGAGTTAACCAGCAGGGAGATGATCTGGGCTGGATGTGGCTTAATCAGCTAAAACGAATGGTAAAAGCAGCCGAGATTCTGTTGCTGGCCCTGAAGAAGTAAGCCACTCCGGTGGGAGAAGACCCATCCTCCGGAAGGCTGGCGGTTCTGCAGCCCTAGGCATGAGTCCTGCCGGAGGCCCAGAGCCTCAGATGCTGGCACCCCCAGGCTACGTCTGGATTTCGGGCTGATGAGACTGAGCCAAGGGGCCGGCACACCCGTGTCCAGAGTCCTGACCCAAAGAAACTGAGAGAGACTCAAAGGAGCAAAGGTTTCAGGACTGTTGAGGCCAGTTTCCCTGGTCCCCAGCGGACGTGGTATCAGACTCATAGTGGCAAACCCACCACCCTGAGGCCTGGCCTGGGGCCCCTGCTCGCTGGGGGCCTGGTGCGCGTGCAGGTGGCATATCTGTGGGGGGGGGGGGTCTTCCACACAGACACAGAGACGGCCTGACATTTCCTCCGGGGTTGCTCCCAATGTGAAGCCACACCTGTCCTGAAGAACACTTCTGGAAAATTCCAGAACTGGTCCTGAGGCATGAGTGGTAGCCTACCTCTACCCATTGGGATCCAGAAGACTCTCTGAGCCCTGCCTTAACGTCCACGTGGAAAACAAGTCCACACTCTCTCCCTGCTCCTGTCCTGCATTGGGTAATGACCCAACCACAGAACACCTTCACAGCCTCGTCTGACTCGTTCCTCCTGTGAACAGTGAGGCCCTCTTGCCCTCGACAGCTCTGACCTGTGCCAACAAGGATCGCGACTAAGGACGCTGAGCAGCGAGGCCCAGGAGGGATCACGGACACCCTCCCATCATCGGACAAACCTCAGGATCAAAAAGCGGAATGTTCTTGTTGTTGTTGTTAAAAAGAAGCGGTTTGACGTGATGAATCTGCCAGTGCCCAAAGCTGTGCACCCCCGGGGCTGTGTCAGGGCCCCCTGACGGGCCAGCCGAACCACACTCCCGGTCCCCATGGGTCACTGGGTGAAGCCCCAGAAAGCGTGTTGCTTTCACAGCTAATGACTTTGGTCAGCACTCTGCAGAGAAGAAACCTGGGGGGGGGGGGGGGGGGGGGGGGGGGGCGCCACGGTGGAGGCGGCACGCGGTGGGAAGAGGCCTGAGGTTTGCCCTACGTGGTGCCAGAGCAGTCCTGCCAAAGGCTGCAAGAAGCTCCGGGATTTGGCTTAAGAGCAACCAGTGCCATGTTGTTGCCCCCTCCCCCACTTTTTCTTAAACTCTGCGTGGATCGCTTTGGTCAAATACTTCCCAGAGATGTCTGGCCTGAGACCCCAGGTGCAAACCAGGACTGAAAGATTAAGGGAGATGCGGTGAACTTAAGGTGGCTCCGCAAAGGCCCAGGGTCCTTCCATCAGGATAACCTCCTTCCAAACTGCACCCCGCCCCCTCATCTCCACCTGCCGGGCCGCAGAGACTGGCTCTCAGAACCACCCATCTCGGGTGACCCAGGAAGGGTCATCGAGGAGGGGAATCTGAGGGAGGGCATCAGGGGCCCAGGCGTACGTACAGCATGTCAGGGCAGTTGTCCGGCTTGTCCAGAAGGCCGCCCTCCATGACGAAGCGAAGCACTTGCTCGTTGGACAAGCCCTGGTACGGCTGCTCGGCCAGCGTGGCGATCTCCCAGAGAACGACCCCGAAGGACCTAGGGTGAGAGAGGGGATGTGAGGGCTCAGAGAGGGGCGGGCAGCCCTCACTGCCCCTTCCCTTCCAGCATTTCCCCACCCCGGGTGCTGAAAACGTGCCCTCGGTGTGGTGACTGAGCGAGCGTCCTCCAGTGCGCCCAGCAGTGGCGAAGCGTGGCCCTTGTCTTCCCGCAGTGTGGGCAAAGCTGTAGCAGGGGGTGGTTTGCAGTGCCCCCTGAATGACTCAGAAGCACCCGCTTTCTCATCTGAACGCCGGGCAGGTTGAGTTCAGGGCCTGGCCCCAGCCACGGGCCCAATAGGGCAGTGTCTCCCAAATGTGCTCTATCCTCTAATTAAAGGCAGGTCCCCAGGCCCTGCCGGGACAGTGGTTTAGTGACCTCGAATACAGCCTGGGACAATCAAGCCATTCAACAAGCTCCCCTATTTTGGAAACTTGTACCCAAGTAGCTCTCAATGCTGGCTGTGGAGTGAGTCTCCTGGCAAGTTTAGAAACATTTTTTTAATGTTTATTTATTTTTGAGAGTGAGAGAAAGAGACAAAGTGCAAGTGGGGGAGGCACAGGGAGAGAAGGAGGCATAGAATCCGAAACAAGCTCCAGGCTCTGTGCTGACCCCCATGCAGGGCTCGAACTCACGAACCGTGAGATCATGACCTGAGCCGAAGTTAGATGTTTAACCGACTGAGCTACCCACGTGCTCCTAAATATTTTTTTAATGTTTATTTATTTTTGAGAGAGAGTGAGCGAGTGAGCACGAGCAGGGGAGGGGCAGAGAGAGAGGGAGAGACAGAATCCAAAGCAGGCTCCAGGCTCTGAGCTGTCAGCACAGAGCCCGATGTGGGGCTCGAACCCACAGACCCTGAGATCATGACCTGAGCCAGTTAACAGACTGAGCCACCCCCGCACCCCTCCTGGTGAGTTTTCAAAACATACTGACGCCTGGGTCTCTGACCGCAGTTCTGACTTCCACAGGTCTGGAGGGTTAGAAAGCTCGGAAGGGGATCTCACAGGTCCAGTGGGGCCAGTGGGGAGGGAAGCCCTGTGGGAGTGAGCTGGGGAGCTGCCGGTCTGTGACATGTGACGGGGGCTCAGTCTCACAGCGAGAGAAGCCAGGAGCACAGCACTGGCTGACGGCGGGCTGGCAGGCAAGGAGGCATCCTTAAGAAGAGTTCAGCTGAGGGGCAAAGGGGCCAAGGCGAAAATTCAGCAGCGGGGGCAGTGAGCCATTCCGCTATGCATGCAGTTTTGCCTGCTGGTTTAGAAGATCTAACTGCTGGAAAACAAATTAAAATACGTGGACACGCACACAGAAAGTTCAGACAGATAATGTTTAAAAGGAGATGCTGTAACCTGCAAAATAAAGGTGGCCTCCCAACACTGCCACCTCACACGAATTTTCCTCGGTCTGTGTGCCTTTACACTCAGTTCATTTCAGCAGAATAAAGCAGGCTCGTCGGCAGCAAGCAGCCCGAGGGGCTTCCGACAGGACTGCGGAAGGGCCAGGGGGTGCTAGTGGCAGAGCCACACTGAAAATTCTGGGGCCTGGCACTTCCCACCGAGAGCTCCCGGGATCCTGGCCCGGAGCCTGAGCCAATGTTTTATTCACTGCTTCAGCTATAGCTACTTTTCTGTGAGCAAAAGGTTTCTGTACAGGGGCGCCTGGGTGGCTCAGTCGGTTAGGCATCCGACTCTTGATTCCAGCTCAGATCATGCTCTCACGGTTCTTGGGTTCGAGCCCCATGTCCGGCTCTGCACTGCAGCATGGAGCCTGCTTGGGATTCTCTCTCTGCCCCTCCCCTGCTCGCAAGCATGCTCTTTCTCTCTCTAAATATAAATAAATAAACATTAAAAAAAAAAAAGGTTTCTGTGCAACTTTGTACTAAGAACAGATATCAGACATAAATAGAATCTTAGCAGAGGACCGACTCACCCAAGGCCCTTTTTAATTTCCAGTGACCAAGAAATAGCCTTTATATTGCACAAGAGACCTAGAAAAGCCAAAGACCCAGAGGCCTAAGTGTGGCTGAAGGCACACTTCAGAGGCTTGGGCTGAAGGCAGCCAGCTTCTCCACAACTCTGGCGCCGGGATGTCATACTGGAGTGGGCCTGGTCACATCGGCAGCGTGCCTCGGAGCTCCCCACCTTCATGTCTGGAACATGGTACAGTGCAAGGAATGACAAGTGTGGCTGTTTTTACTGATTGCAGGCCTGGCCTGAGGAATCCTCTGAGAACAACACAGCTCCCCCCCAGAGCCCCTTCTCCTCCACAGACTCTGCCGGTGGGGCCAGCCCCTCTCAAGCAGCCCATTCTCACTCAACGGCTCCCGCATGGACTCTTTCGGCTCCGGGTGCTCTGTTTCAAGCTCCCGGTCACTTGGCTATCCATAAACTTCCCGTGTCTCAGCCCAAGCTCTTGGTCCTGTTCTTCTGGCCTCGAGTAGCTGGTGTCCTGCCTCACTCGAGCAGTCAACCCAAGGCCGTCCTTCCCTCGGCCTCCTCAGGGTCCTCCACGGCACTGACGGTCCTCCTCGGCCTATAGCACTCTTCCTTTCTGGTGCTAGCACCTTTCACGATGCGGCCTGATGCTCTAGCTAACATGAACATCTTAAAACAGTCTCCCGTGTCGCTCTTCCTTCAGAAGCTTTATGCGTCTTTGCAGAACCTGAAGAATCAGGCCCAAGCCCCTGACACAACATCTGAGGCCTTACTTGCTCTCTCTCCACCCTAACTCCCTCAAGGAAGTCCCACCGTCTTTCGCAAGCGTGTCCTGCCGCCATAGCCTCTCTCGGCATTCCCGCGGTCTAGAACCTGCATCCCCACTGCCTTGTAAGTGACACTCCTACTTCAGGGTACCCCACGGCCCTGTCTCTTCTGGCCAGGCTTTTGTGACTCCAACCTGTCAGGATCACTTCCTCTTCTCCACAAGGCTTCACCCTTCCAGGACAGGGAGTTGGTCTCTAGTTGCCCTGTTCTTGCACACACTGAGCATTTCCTGGAACCCACCAGGTCCTCACGGTCACACACATGAAGTCACACAGCAGGTAACAGGGCTGGCCTGGAGTGACTCCTGTGTGATGTCAGCATCCCTCGTCGGGGAGGGCCACTCAGTGCTGGAGTCTGGTCACCCTTCGCGGGAAGTGACCGGCCGAGTCCAGTGCGTGAAGGCTGAACCATCTCTACCCCACACCAAGATGCCCCCCTGGCATCACTAGTTGCCACAGGAGCCATGAAAACATTCAGCGAGCTACTGCAGGCCTAGTAGGGAGTGCAGACACTCCAAAGCAGACCGCACCTCACAGGCTGAGCAGCCAAAGCCCAGAGATACCCCGTGGTTTGACCAAGGCCACACGGCCAGACAGGGACACTAAGAGGCAAAGCCTGTGTACTTTTCAAAGCAGATGATTTACAATGGCATGGGCGCTGGTTTCAATGCCTTCATATAGTACTGAGTCATGAATTTTGTGGACAGGTTTCATCTGTAAACACTAGACAAATGTCTTTGCGTGACGTCTTTTCTAAAAGGCGAAAGATTTATGCAATCTGAAGAGAAACCAGAGTATGTGTGACATCTTTTCCAATCATGAGCACTGGGGGGTTTGCCCCGAAGAAGGTACAACTTGATGTGAGTCTCACACATCTGTGCCACTGCCACCTGGGGCCAGCGTTCAGGAACCACACCTCAGCACACCACGACAGGATCATGTCTGTGTCCCACCCACCAGCAAATTGAGACCTACACAGATCTCCACATTCCCCGCTGACATGAATTAGCCAGTAAAGAAGCAAATGATTTTAAGTGGGTGCGGGCCTAGGTATTTGTGGAAGTTTGGAAACCTTCTTAGTAAGTCAAGAAATGAAGACTGTTGGAGGGTGATCCAGACGCCCAGGGAGCGGACACACTTGTGGGTTCCAACTGCCTAGTTTTTTGCTTGGTTCCCTCCATCCCTGGAGGGCACACTTGTGTCTTCTAAGCCAAAGGAATCATCCTGCAAGGACACGGTGCTACGACAGAGCTGCAGGAGTAGGAAGCACAGAGCCCGAGGGCCTGGGCATAAAATCTCAGAGGGCACTGGGAAAATGTGGAAGTGTTCAAACTAGAGAAAAGTTTGGTCACTTCCTTGTGACTCCAAGGCCCGTCTCGTCAAAAACAGACGAGAGCGTGCGACTGTGCTACAAGGAGGGCCAACGGGTGTCACCAAGAGGCGGACTTAAGCATCATATGAGAAAGACCTGCAAAGAACAAGGGCGTCTTAAGAGTTAGGGTGGCTTGTCCTTGTGAGGGAGAGGACAAGTAGTCCTGGAGACATTTCAGCAGAAGCCTAACCACTAGCTGTCAAAGAGGCCATGGGTGGGATGTGGGGGCTGGACACAACCTTGGGAGTGCCTCCCAAACCAAAGACGCTGAGGTCTCTTTGACACAGTCAAATACAATTCTCTGTATCTCTATCTAGAGTTTCAACTATTTGGGAACACCTGTTTTGTGCTATTGAATACAATCTAAGGGACTCCCATTCCTTTGACAGGGAGGGCTTGAGATCCTAGGCAGCTGAGGAACCTTCCATATTCACCAAGTCCTGGCCTACCCTACCCATGTTACCCTCAAAGGCTGTGTTACCAAAAAAAAAAAAAAAAAAAAAAAGGAGAATTTAAAGCACTGTTAATGCCTGAACACTGAACGGAATGATTATCAAATAGACACTCTTGTTTACATACACATATTACTCATGCATAATGTCGATGCCGTCGAGTGGGAGAAAACTGGCATTGAACCCCCTGCATGTCCCTCTGTTGCTGCTGCTGGTGGCATTCGTTGTTACCCAGGGTTTGGGCAAAATTAGCCTGTGAGATATTAATAACTCTAGTTTTATCTTCTCATCCTGCCTCTGCTGTCCCTGGCTCGCACGGTTTTCTCTTTTATTGTACTACAAGCTGACCTCAGAGCTTTGGGAGGTATAGAGGCTACAATAATCAGATGCATGAACAGACCTTCTCTCCCCATCATCTCTACATCTAAAAATGGTGGTGAGCACTTTGATTTGACAGCAAAGAGCTAACTATCTTGGACAGGCCGACTGCAAAAACAGATCTCGTACGTGAACTCGAGACGCAATCACGCTTTGCCGGGTCGTATTCAAATGCTATTTCCAATTTGCACCTGTCTTCGTAGTGAGATCCAAGGCCCTTGAACTATGAAAGGTTCACGAGGTTAAAAAAAAAAAAAAATGATGTCGGTCACTATTTAAATAGCTCCTCTATGTGGTCGTCCAGACAGTTGAGTAAACAACTCCCATTTCCGTAACACACCAGCAATGGGACCTCCCGAGAGGACAGCCAAGAAACTAGTTGACGTTCTAGGAGGTAGATGTGCCAGGGCCTCAGCCTGCCAAGGACCTCAGTTGTATTTCAGAACCTGGCCTCCTCTCCACAGTGTTGCTGAGGTATCACAGGAAACAGCACTACTGAGAGTCCTCTGTACTCCTCAGCTAAGCTTTCTACCCCAAGATACGTTATTGTGAAGGGAGACATTGTGCTTTCTACCTCATCCCTGGGTCCACAATGGTGAAGTCCTTTGAAAAAGGACAGACAGCAGATGGGACCAATGAGAGAACACATCCAGACTCACAAGCTTTGGGTGTGAACAAAGGAATGTCTGCAATCTGGAGTTGTAATTAGGTGAGGCAGCCGCACACACACCACGTTATCTATTTATTGGGAAAGATGGAATGAGGGCAGGTGGCCAGGGGAGACGTGAAGTTTTCAGACACGTCCCGGCCCCTGGTGGTCTGTCTCTCAAGGGCTCCTCGCCATTTACTGAGTACTTAAGGACTACAAGAAATGTGGGTCTCACAAATTCTTTAGAGCCCACAAATGCCCGCTGTCCTCAGCTAGCCCACTGACAACAGGAGCCCTTCAACCGTGCAGGACTATGGCCCACACAGCGCTTGGCCAAAGCTGGAAACGGGGTAACAATGAATAGAGACCAGTAGAAACATAAAGCCCTCGAGACAGAGCCAGTGGGATCTGTGGAAGTAGGAGGGCTCTGGGCTCGCATTACAGAAGGAGACTCTCATACCAGACGTCAGAGTGAGTGGTGAAGACCCCATCCTTGAGGGACTCGGGTGACATCCAGCGCACAGGCAGCAGCCCCTTCCCTCCTTTCCGGTAATAGTCTGTCTCGTAGATATCTCTCGTCATACCGAAATCTGTAAGGTGGAGAGAAGGCACGAGAGTGACGCACTGTGAGCAGCTCTCAGGGCGGAAGCAAAGATGTCCCATCACAGCTGTGGGGCACCCACGGGTGAGCCACACTCTCAGGAGGCTGGGTATCAGCATTTACAATTGTATAAGGCAGAATCGATAAGGGATGACTGATCAATTAATCCTGTGACAAGTAAATACCAATGAATGTCTGCTTCAAATAGGTTTACAATTTGAGTCCTTTGAAAAAAAAAAGTTGGGGCCCCTGGGGGGGCTCAGTTGGTGACGCGTCCGGCTTCGGCTCAGGTCATGATCTTATGGTTTGTGGGTCGAAGCCCCACGTCGGGCTCCGTGCCGACAGCTCAGAGCCTGGAGCCTGCTTCGGATTCTGTGTCTCCCTCTCTCTCTGCCCCGCCCCCGCTCACACTCTGTCTCTCTTTCCCTCTCAAAAATAAACATTCAAAAAATTAATAAAAATAAAAAAATTTAATTTCATTCCAAATAAAGAAACAGATAAATAAAAAAGTTAATTCCTTTATTCATTTAAAGTGAGAAGCAGTTTATAAATTACCAAGTCTCCCACTTTATCAAGAAAATATTCATGTGTCATTTACATGTGGTTTTAGAACCTGGTGAAATAAATAAGAGCATTCTGACTCTTACTTACTTGGTAGCACTGCCCCACTGCCAGAGGAAATAAAATAGTTTTACTGCTTAATAAGGGGGAAAATATTGAAAGTACCAATTCACGGGGAAAGAAAAGTACACAGTAAGATGCTAGGAGATGCTATTTACTAGGCCCCTGAAGCTATTACCCAATAATGTTTTTCAACATAATGCTCCTACTCGTTTTTGAAAATTTGTTCCATTTTCCATGTCTCTAGAAGATGTCACATAATTATGTTTGATGGCAGGCCTGCTTTATAATCCTAAATTATCGCTTCTTTGTCAGATTTTGATTTTCCACTCAATCACCCAACCTTTTCTTACAGGGACTCTTCCATTTCCTTCCCCAGGAGAAAGGGCTGCTCTCCTTTCTAAAATGTTCATTCATGTCTCTAACTGTGCCACAAAGCAGTTAGGCTACAAAGCAAACACAGGGAATAAAGTTCCTTGCACGTTAACCAACACAATTTACTTGTACTGAGCTGAGGGGTCAACAGCTGCCTCTGGTGAAATTACTTGTCATGTTTGTACTCCATGAGACACCGGGCATTGGAAAAACAGATCTTTCGAACCCAAGTGAGGAATAAAAACCAAGTGTTGGAACCCTATCTCAGAATTAATCCAGTGACATGCAGAGGAGAGGACTTGTCTTTACTTGCACAAAAAGGAGAAAAAAAAAAAAAGAAATCTCAGAAAAAGAACACAAGCTATTTCTTCCATAGCACAAAAGAAAAATTCCAAATGTTAGTGAGAAAAACTGCAAGTACAAAGGTCACTGTAAATGTGCCACTGGGTTAAATGGCAAATATGGTCCTTGCTGATTTGGACTTCAAATGGCAAGTGGCCCGACAAGAGCTCTCCCACCGTGATGTGAAACCGGAAAGCAGTTAGCATGAGCTGAGCTCCTGCGTGTGCCAGGAAGCGGGTGTGGGAAGCAGGACGCTGATGGCCCCAGGAACTGACATCTACTGGGGACCTGTCCTGTGCCAGGTGTGTGCTTGGAGCTGTCCCGTGCCCAGTCCTGCCCACCATCTCGTGGGTCTGCTCTATCAGCATCCCCATTTCCGAGGGAAAGAAACTGAGGCTCAGAACTTAAGGCACTAGTCCCAAGTCTCATCTGCTGCGGCAGAACCAGGATTTAAGCTCAGGGCTTCCCGGTTCTGTAGCGCTGGGGAAGGAGGGCTGCCTGGCATCTCCATGGGAATAATCTGAGTCTTCATGGAAAAGGGGAAGGAACGAAAAGGGAAGGGGAAGGGAGCAGGGAGCACAAAGAAAGCCCAGACAGCGGCGAGAGAGGCTGTTTCCTAGAAACCCTGGAGCCTGTCAGCCTCCTGGGATTCAAGGAGCACTAGACGTGTGGATGCCTCAAAGGGCCAAATCCAGGGACATACTGGTAGCTCATGAATGAGTCGTTCTGATGACTCAGGGATGTCTGCTCTATGATATGGCTCCATTCATCATCTCTGTTTCCTCCAAATGAAAAATAAAGACACTAACCCCTAATTTGATAACTATTCTAGAGGGGATACTCCTCATTCACAACTAAAGGACCGAAATATTTCCTTCAAAATCATAGCTAAAGAAAAAATATACTGCTAAAGAAAGATGAGCATTTCCATAACAGATAGTTCAAGAGCTAGAAAAAGGTTAAATTTATTTTACTTTATTTTTTTTTCAGTACTTTGAATATATCATTCCACTCCCTTCTGGCCTATAAAGTTTCTGCTGAAAAATCAGCTTATAGTCTTATGGGGTTTCCCTTGTATGTAATTGTTTTCTTTTCTCTTGCTGCTTTTAAAACTTTATCACTACCTTTTGCCATTTTAATTATTATGTCCCTTGGTGTGGACCTCCTTGGTTGATTTTATTGGGGGCTCTCACTGCTTCCTGAGTCTATTTCCTTCTACAGATTAGGGAAGCTTCCAGCTATTATTTCCTCAAATAAATTTTCTCTCTCTTCTCCTTCTGGGATCTCTATAATGTGAATGCTATTATGCTTGATGGTGTTGCTGAGTTCCCTTAACCTATCCTTCTTTTATAATTCTTTTATCTTTTTCCTGTTCTGTTTGGTTGCTTTCCATTACTCCCTCTTCCAGTTCAGGGATCAGTTCTTCTGCTTCCTCTCCTATTGATTCCCTCTAGTGTATCTTTAATTTTGGTTACTAAGTTCTTCATCTCTGTCTGATTGGTTCTTTGGCATATTTTCTGTCTCTTTGTTGAAGGTCTCGGTGAGATCCTCTACTCTTTTCTCAAGTCCCGTGAGTATCTTTACGACCATTACTTTGATTTCTCTATCAGACATATTGCCTACCTCTGGTTGGTTCGGCTCTTTTGCTGTGATTTTGTGCTAGTTTTTCAACTGGGACACAGTCCTCTGTCCCCTCATTTTGTCTAACTCTCTGTGTCTGTTTCTATGTGTTAGCAAAGTCAGCTACATCAAGGAGGTTAATTTTAAATGGATTTTGGATGTAAAGTGTCCTCTGCAGTTTCTCAGAATAAATACTTGATGTTTTTCTGAGCCATCGTCATCTCATAATGGGAAGGTAAGGGTTCTGGTAAAAGTAGGTAGCTTTCCTGAGTAGCCCTGAGGTTATAAGTGTTTTTATCAGGATTAAGAGATCAAAGCAAAACCCAAACCTAAAGGCTAAAATGAATTTCTAACCAGCACCAGAAATGCAACCCAACCCCCCCTTTTTTGGTGTTTCAGTGGGTGGTGGCAACAAGGAGTCTAACCAGCAGGTTGATCAGCTAAGCGTTATAATACACAGGTTGAGAGCTTAGAGGTTGACCAACTTGGGTGTGAACCCCAATAAGCAGTGATCTTCCCTCACCTGAGTGATTGCACCTCCCTGTCACTGTTACTGCTCTATGCAGGGGCTTCACCGTTGGGGGCCTCACATCTTAGAAACCTCCATGGACCGCTGAGAGGGCAAAACTCCTTTCAAGCCAGAAACATTGGAGGAAATGTTGGTAGTTTATATGGCAACTTTTACTCCCAAGTCAAAATCACCTGAGGACATTGCCTCAATTATTTCTGTAACCAACGCTTAGAACTCTTCTGCCAAAAAATGCCCCAAATGCCAGGAGAGGCTACCTCAGAGACCATGGCCTCAGCTCATCCTTGTCCACTGCCTGTTCTGCTGTGCCCACATGTGCTATAGGGATTTGAGCCAGCCCAGTCAGGTTTGTGATTGACTATCAATTGGAGACAACCAAGTTATTCCCAAGTACAAGACTCTGTACTCATGGGATGCACTGGAAAACCTCTTCACAGGTGGGTGAATGCCAGCTCGGTCTCTGAAATGTGGGTGAGTTTAGCTCCTGCTCAGACCTGGGAAGCTAAGAACACACCTCCGATTTTGACCGTGAAATCTTCAGCCACCATGCAGTTCCGGGCAGCAAGGTCCCTGTGGACAAACTTGTTGGCGTTGAGGTATGCCATGCCGTCTGCAATCTCTCCAGCCATCTGGATCATCTTGCTTAGGCTTGGAGGTGCTAGGACTGGATTATTCTGTTGGAGATTAAAAAAAAAAAAATTTCACGTGAGAATTTAGGAGTGTCCCCCACCCTAATTCCTCCAGGGTGTGCAAATCCATCTTTGTTCAATCTAAGCACCACAGGTCAGTCCACTAAGAAACAGGACTTGCTCAGAAGGAACATATTATTATGGAGACCATAGCATCTGCTTCGTGGTAAAGTCATGCGCTTGCCCGCTGACCACATCACACAGAGTTGCAGAGAGAAACGCTAATTAGCACAACTTGGGACCAGCATTTTCTATTTTGGGTAGGGCAAAAATTATTTAAAGTGAAACTAACAATTTCAGATATTAAGATTTCTTGATTACTCAAGTTTTTATTAGTTTGTATGTTCCTTTTCTGTCTATAATCAAAGTGCAGGTGAAAGGAGCGAGAGAATATTACAAAGGCTGTGTGGAAATAAGTAAATGTGTTTCCCAAATGGACACCGGATGCTTTATTTCCCATGTGAGCATCGTTATCAAGTATCCGATCTTTTTCTTTCTCTTTAACTTTCATCTAAAGTACAAAAGTATCAGGACTAACGTTTTCACTTCACAACGTGGCACTCCTTGGGTTGTTGTTTTCTGTGGGCACCAAGGAAAACAGGCACTCGCCAATTAATTTAAGTCCAGATGAAGCATATTCTGGAGGGGGATCAATGTAAAACAGGGACACGTAACATGATAAGCATTTCCTCTTTGTAGAGGAGGGCTTTGGAATTAAAGAGAAAAACCTCAGAATAATAAAAAATCCATTTAGAAAAAAGCTTATATAAAACATGTGCCAAAATCTCTCCATCTAAAAAAAAAAAAATACAGAGCAAATCAGCCCGCCACAGTTTAGATACTAACCACCTCTTGCTTGTGCTGTGCGATAGAGTTTACCTCAGTTTCCCTGACTACAGAGCATCTGTTACAACACTGCAAAGCCACATTACTCTGACAGGTCCCAAAGCGCCACCTTCCTGGCTCAAACCCTGGGTGCCAGGGGAAGAGCATGCCTGGGTGGGGTCACTGCCGGAAGCATGAGCTGGGACCACACATGGAAAGTGCCTGCCAGTGCCTGGCCAGGGTCTGTGCTCAGTGGATGTTGGCTTTGCCTAGTGATGTGCTGGTTTCTGCTGAAAGCTGCCTTCTAGAAGCAGTATAACAACCCTCCAAAGCACTTGTGGGTTAGTTCCCTACACATGACGTATGTTTACATTCTGAAGAGACTATCAAGACAGCCTCTGGTGGTTTAAAATACTTATCACGGAGTTTCCTGGGGGAAGTGACATGATGTCCCCAAGGGTAAGCCCAAACCAGCACTTTCTTTTTACATGGGAGTCTCCTTTAGACAAGCTTTTCTGTCTCAGGACCCACCGTTGCCTTTTAAGCTTTCTGGGGCTTTAGATGTGCATGGTATGCTAGGAAATCTTCAGGTGAACTGTTAAGTTGATGCTCATAATACTTAAGCTGTGGAGTATTAAGTATATGTGTTTACTGGAAGTGGTCATTTATGGGCGCCTGGGTGGTTCAGCCAGTGAAGCGTCTGACTTCAGTTCAGGTCATGATCTCACGGTTCGTGAGTGTGAGCCCCGCATCGGGCTGTGTGCTGACAGCTCAGAGCCTGGAGCCTGCTTTGGATTCTGTGTCTCCCTCTCTCTCTCTCTGCCCCTCCCCTGCTTGCACCCTGTCTCTCTCTCTCTCCCTCAAATATACACATTAAAAATTTTAAGAAAAAAGAAGTGGTCATTCATAGTTAACATGAAGGATAGAATCAATAAAAGGAATCTGATTATACATAGTGGAAGAGAGGGCTGACATTTCATCAGTTCATGGTGCCACACTGCCATTCTTTCAGGCGTTTCAGAGAGCGGAAATCTTTAATCCGCTTCGAGCTACTGAAGGCATGTATACACAAACACCCACATTTAGCAAAGTAAATGAGCAAATCTTAACTTGGGGAGAAGATGCCAAATAGAGTATAATGAATCTGCAGGACAAGCATACATATTTTTATCCTTGACCTGAGTTAGAAAGAACAAGTTTAAATCTGACACATCTAAAAGTGAATTTGAGATCTGGAAAAGGGACTTTCAGAAACCTTCTTGTCCAACCATCTTATTTTACACACGAGGACACTGAGGTGCGGAGGCCCGAAGCAGCTGCCTGAGGACGGCAGACAGCTTGCAGCAAAGCCGGGACGGAGACGACGTGTTTCCAAACGTTTATTCTGTGCCTGAAATCGGGGACGCAGGGAATGAGCGTTTCATACTTTTCAGATGTCTGCATGAATCTGATAAGAAATACACTGCCGTGTCTTGAGCCACCTATCTGATGAAGCTTTTCTCCCTCATGCTGGCTTGTGTATTACAGAAGTGGGGCAGTTTACGATCCAGGGGACCTGGGGAGCCACGCTGTAGAGCAGAGGGTGGGTGTGTGTTGTAAATCATCCTGCTCAGGGCCTCGGGCCACACTTGGCCTCGTGACCCTCAGAGAACCACAAGGACAATCATCTGCTGTGAATGGAGGAAGCCCCGTGCAAACAGGTGCTCAGAACTAAAATTTAAGGAACAACTACTTGGGAGATAATTAAGTTGTAGATGAAAAGAAAACCAAAGATTAGGCTCAAACAGGGAAAGGCTGTAGAGATTCAAAAGGGAAGTATTCTGGGAATACAAGCAGATGCAAAGCCTGCTCACCACAGAGCAAAGTCAGGGTGAAAGTGAGGCCTTCAGACCCACCGAGGGGGTCGAATGAAAGGCAGATGTTGCTGGTATTATTTGTAAGTATTTATCTACGAGTTTATTCTTAGAGTGACTCACTTGGAGTCATGCTTCCATATGCTAAAAAGCTGCCTTGTGGGTTCATGCCACAGACGGGGAGACACCACAGTGACTAATGAAAAATTGCAGAGGACTTCAGCAGGTTTACAAGTTGAAGCTCATAACACAAATTGGTCTTTTTTACTAGACTAAGCAGACAATGTGCAGCCGAGGCGATTATCATTCTGCCTCAGGATCAAGCCTGACATGTGGATGCAGAGTTCGAGAAAACAGGGCCTCCCGGTCTCAAAGGCTCAGACTGTTGACAGCCTGGGGGAAGGGACGTGTGTGGGGAGGGGGATTGTAAATAGGGGGGCACCTATGTGTACAGAGCCGGGTGGGAAACCACACCAGCAACAAGAATCACGTCAACCTAACATTGAACTCTGACAGGCGTTTACTGAAGGACTGCCTGCCACAAACACGGACCCTGAACGGGCAGCGCTCGGAGCCTGGGAGGAAAAGCTGAACATGATGGGGTGGAAGGGGAATCCACTCGGAGGACCACAGAAGAGAGAGTTGGTGCTAGGGGAGCAGTCATGGAGGGTTCCTGCCTTCCGGGCGGGGGAGCAGGGAAGGCTTCAGGGAGGAAGCTGTGCAGAAGCAGGGAGAAGTCAGGGAGAGTCTGCGGTGGAGGAGGGAACTAGAGGGGGGCGGAATGCAGAACAGGAGCACAGAGGGGTTAAGCAGAAGGGTATCTGAGAAATGGCAAGGGGCTCCCACAAAAGCTCGAGGTCTCTCTCTAGTCGGGGACATCTTTCATACAAAGGACCTGTAACCAAGCATGCAGCAAGAAACATTCAATGTTGAAAAGTAAGCAGGTTTAAAGACACAGGGGTGCCTGGTGGCTCCGTTGGTTGGGTATCTGACTTCGGCTCAGGTCATGATCTCACGGTTTGCGAGTCTGACCCCGGGTCGGGCTCTGTGCTGACAGCTTGGAGCCGGAAGCCTGCTTCCCGTTCTGTGTCTCCCCTTCTCTCTGCCCCTCCCCCGCTCACACTCAAAAACATTTTTTAAAAATAAAAAAAATAAACACACAATATCTTCTGGGGGGGGGGGGTGTGGTGGGAAGGTGCTAAAGAAAGAATAGGTAACGTATGAAGTCCGTGAAAACCAAAACTGACCTCTATTTCTGGCCTCAGAGACCTGAGATAACTTTTGAGATCGCCCCGCGTCATCAGTTCCATGATGACCAGCGTCGGCTGGCCCTGGGACACCACGCCCAGCAACCGCACCTGGGAGGAATGACAGAGAGAAGGACTCAGAGGGTGAGGGTTGCCCGTGACAGTCCCCATCCAGGCTGCTAGAACAGTCTGTGACCTGCAGAGCCCAGACGTGCGGGCCACAGGGCCCCCACTGGCCGGGGTCTACACCACAGCCAGAGCCGCTAGTGCACAGGTGTCTAAGGGCCAACAGTGAGGTGACGGGGAACTCTGGAAGGCGGGGCGAGACACCAAACCCCCAAGTGATGCCACTGACACTCTGGGGGGCCCCACTGAGGTGTTCTCCCTGCGTCAGTTTCTGGCTTCTCAGGGCATTCTCTTACCACATGGTGACAATTGAACTCCTTCATCACTGAAGCCTCGTTGAGAAATTCAATCCTTTCACGCATGCTCGCGGCCTCGTTCACCGTTTTGATGGCCACCCTGGTTTCGGGCTCATCTTTAACCACGCCTTTGGCAACTCCTTCGTAGACCATCCCAAACGAGCCCTGCCCCAGCTCTCGGCTCATGGTGATTTTCTCCCGAGCAACCTCCCACTCATCAGGTACATACACTGGAGAAGAAGAAACCAGAACCGAAACAGGTAAGGCAGGGAGCCCCTGGGCAGAAGATGCTTTTGGGGGAAACCAGAATACAAGATGCCACTTCCTGAAGTCCACAGAGAACATCAGGAAACAGTGACACAGCTTGTCCTGAAATTTCTGCAAGACAGCTATACAGTCACACACTGGTATTTCAAGTCTTCAAGGATTCTGAGGTAATTTTAGGATCCTAACAGCACACAAGAACCACAAAGGAATCCAATTTGAGATGCGCTAAGTATAGAATTCACAACAGGCTTCAAAGACTTAGTACGAAAAAAAAATCACGCAAATATTTTAATAGTTTTTAGACTGACTACCTATTTAAATTGATAATACTTTGGACATACCGGGTTAAATAACGTGTATCATGAACATTTTTTCACTTCTTTTTTTAATGTTTTTTCATGTTATAGAAAGAGAGAGCATGAGTGGGGAAGGGGCAGAGAGAGAGGGGAGGACAGAGAATCTGAAGTGGGCTCTTCACTGACAGCAGTGAGCCTGATGTGGGGCTTGAACTCACGGATTGTGAGATCGTGACCTAAGTGAAGTGGAATTTCAATTGACTGAGCCACGGCAGGTGCCCCTCACCTGTTTCTTTTATACTTTTTTAAACGTGGTTGTTAGAAAAACTTATGGTTACATACGGGACTAGCCTTCTATTTCTATTGGTAGCACTATTCTAGTTTAGACAAGTGTCTCCAGCCTCACCGAAGCCCCTGGGGTGTCTATACAGGAACAGAAGCTGCTGAACTCTGGCACCAAGGACCATCAGTGGTGAGCAAGGTGGAGGGACAGCTGGTGAGCACAGGGGTCTCCCCAGGGCCCTGGCCTGAGCTCCATGAACTCAGGGACCGCCCACAACTGGGTTGAGGGGCTGGGAGTTGGGACATGGTAAGACAGAGCCTGAACATGACTTCTCCAGCCAAGGCTTTCAGTCAATCTGGTTTAAGAAAACAAAGAAGTAATTCCAGGCAGGCAGGAAGGAGAAAGAAAGAGGAAAAGGGAGAAGGGAGGTAAGAAAGAAAAGAAAACAATACAGAGGATCCATCCCACAACTCAGATGGGCAGAATGAAAAAGAAAAAGAAAAAAACAACCGCAACCTGTTCCATTAGCTCCCTAAGAAATGTCAGTTATAAGGACATCCTTCTAATGCTGTGTGTGCTTCTGTCCTTGCCGGAGAGGGGGATTCCCAGCAGGCTCCACTGTATACCAGGAAGGGGTCCCGGCTCAGAAATGCAGGACTGGGGAGCTGCGATGGCATCTGTGTTTGCTTGTATGCTTTTGGACGTTAACCTTGCGCTTACGGCTGGATGTGGGAGAAGCAGTGGCTGGCAGCTGGATTCCAACACCACTGGGTCTCCTGTTCTTTCATGTCTGGAAGGAAAGACGTCTATAAATTAGGCCCAGGAGATCCCACCAACTTATGCCACTGAGGAGTGTCCAATATGGCCTATGTTCATCAATCTAGAATTTTCTGTCATACGCACTTTTGTATTTCCCATTACATATGCAGTTTAGGAATTTCGTAAGCGGGAGTCTACCTTCTATGTGGCTTAGATGTCATACGGCCCCTAAGAAGAGGCTGAGGCTTGCTTAGGAGAGTAAGTATGCAAGACAAGCCAGTAGATAAGACTCTTCACAATACCCCTCAGAAAGTATAAAGAGAAACCGCCTGTATCCGTTTATCTCCGAAAATCCGGGCTTGCTTTTAATCAGAATTAACTCTGTAGCACACCATAAAACACGGAGTTAAAACCAATCCCATTCCTTCCTTGGGAGGTCCCTGAAGTCAATACTTGCAATCTCTTTCTCTAAATTCAACCCAGCAGCTCTGACTCGAGCCAGCAGGTCCTAAGCCCCGCCAGCCAGCAACGGGTTATGTGCACAATGTTATCAGCACTTCCCTAGAGGGGATTTTCGGTATATTCTGGAGAATGGTGACGTGCAGAATAGCTTCTGGAGAAAGAAGTTTTTAAAGCATTTTCGAACTGCAATGTCATTTTGTCGCCCCTCGAGGAGACTAACTATAAGGTGCTTGTCAAATGGCCGACTAAATTAAGTTCAAATGAGGTGACCGTGTTCCTACCTGTTGTTGGCCTGGGTGACAATGCGTTGGGTTTTTATTTTATTTTATTTTTTTTTTAATTTTTTTTTTCAACGTTTTTATTTATTTTTGGGACAGAGAGAGACAGAGCATGAACAGGGGAGGGGCAGAGAGAGAGGGAGACACAGAATTGGAAACAGGCTCCAGGCTCTGAGCCATCAGCCCAGAGCCTGACGCGGGGCTCGAACTCACAGACCGCGAGATCGTGACCTGGCTGAAGTCGGACGCTTAACCGACTGCGCCACCCAGGCGCCCCTGGTTTTTATTTTATTTTTAAAGGCGAATCAAGGCATATTATGAAAGTAGTTCTGGAAAGATATAAAATTTGCATTCAAATCACCATTAGAGTCTGATATTATTGTATTAATGCTCTTTCTAAGCTTCCTGGACACTTCATAGTCAAAACGACAAAATGCCAGTCTTCTGTGCTTTATTTCAAAGCAGAGCAAATTCTCTGGAATAGCCTTATTCCACCTCTACAGAGAAGGAAAGTGGCCTTGCATTTCCTCATAAATTCCATTAAGTGTGTGATGACTCCTTACCTTATCTGACTTAAAAAAAAAAAAAAAGCTATTAATTATATAAGCAATGCATAAAAATCTTTTTGCTTTTTTTTTTTAATAAAGAAAAAGATACTTTCCACAAGTAACTACTATTTTAAATTTGGTGTGTATCCTTCCAGAATGCTCTCTATGTCTTATATACATACATACATCAAAGGAGTACAGAAATATGTGTGTGTGTATGTGTGTATGTGTATATACACACATACCTACATGCCTATTAAAAATACAGCTTTGTGGGGCACCTGGCTGGCTTAGGTGTTTAGGCGTCCTGCTCTTGATTTCGGCTCAGGTCACGATCTCACAGTTCACGGGGTCAAGCCCTGCTTGACCTGTGCTCTGTGCTGACAGTGTGGAGCCTGCTTGAGATTCTCTCTCCCTCTCTCTCTCTCTGCCCCTCCCCTCCTCATTCTTTCTCAAAATAAAAATAAAATAAAGACATTAAAAAATACAACTTTGTGAGACTTCTATAGAATCAGGAAGAAATGTCCTTATTCTGCACTTGATTCCCATTCAGGGGAGGCTGCTTTTGATCGGCTTTGCTGTAAACAGAACTGAATTAGAAATTATTAGAGAAATCATAACAAAACTTTACACATTTATATAGTGCTTTTAAAGCATCAGTGTGTTTTCTTATGTTTTCCATTTACTCAGGGTAATCGATCAGAATAATCACAACTCCATTTCACACGTCCTGCACACCAACTTTCACTTCACCTGAAGCAAAAAGGAGGCCACACACGGTTTCTAAACACACCTCCCTGAGTTCATGTACTCATTCGTTCATCTGGTGGACCCAAGCCAGCTCCTCCTGTGGGTCAGCTTCCCTGCGGTCGACAAGATGCCAGAGACCATGTCATCCTGACTTCTCAACCACCTAGTATGCACATGTGTCCTCTGAACCTCACCGCCTCACCTACAGACAGGCGGGCATTAGAAAAGCCACCTTACCGGGACACAGGGATCAAAGGGAACAGCGTTCGTAAAAGCCCCCGGCAAGTGCCAGTATCACTAGACCCCAGGACCAGTGCCCGGCCTGGACTTACTTATAAAGGTTTGGATTCAAGCACAATAGGGAGAAGAGACAGTAAATAAGGAAAAAACGAAATAACCATCGAATAGAACCCAACTGCCAAGTCAGACCTCAGTCACTTAACTAAATGGACCTCATGAGTTATTACCCAAGGGTATGTGAATGGGCCGTGAGGGTATAAGTCATAGGAGCCCGGTCAGGAGGGAATGAGCAGAAAAACTCCAAGACAGAAAAATGCAGAGAAGCCAGGAGTGATCAAAGACCATCATAGCGATACGAAACTCAGGCTGAAACAAGTTTAAAGGAACTATTTGGTCAGCTGCAGCGTATCCTCTGACTAGATGTCAACAATTAAACAACTTTTGTCATCCTAGCATAAAATCTCAGGCAATTAAGTAAATTGACAACTGTGCTGACCAGTTGTCTCTGAAGACTGTTTTTCTTTGGGAGCATCCCATACAGTCCCAGAATTTTCGACATATTCAGTGAACTGCTCAAAACTTTGATTTAAAAGAGAAAGGGGGCGGGGGCACCTGGGTGACTCAGTCCAGTAAGCGTCTGACTTTGGCTCAGGTCACGATCTCACGGTTTGTGAGTTCAAGCCCCGCGATGGGCTCTGCGCTGACAGCTCAGAGCCTGCTTGGGATTCTCTCTCTCTCTCTCTCTCTCTCTCTCTCTCTCCCCCTCCCTCTGCCCCTCCCCTACTCACTCTTTCTCTCTCTCTCAAAATAAATTAACTTAAAAAAAATAATAAAAATTTAAAGAAAGTGTTAACGACGACATATTTGAAGCCAAAGTTACGTCAAATAACGCAAACCTCTTCTCCCTAAATTAGCCGCACTCCTGAAAGCTCCCTAGTCTGGGACCTGACTGGGTCCAGGCAGTGTCCGGAGCTTAGCTGCTTACCATCTGCGGCACTGAAGTACTCTGGGTTCACCGAAGCATACAGCACTCCATTCCCCAGCCTGCTGTTATTTCTGTAAGAAGGAAAAAATTCAGGTTAAAAAAACCCCGACGTGCACACATCTCATCTTCGCTCTATCAGCTTTATTTATCCCGTTTTAAGTATCACGAGGAAGGGAGCAAGGGGCACCTACTGCCTGCAGACCCTCACCTACACTCCCCCATCTGACCTGGGGCCGAAGACATCTGCTAACAGGGCTCTGGGCTTCCTCAGTGGTCTTGGATGAAAGCCTTGTAAGAAACATTTGTTTCTTGGGGCGCCCGGGTGGCTCCGTCGATTGGGTGTCTGACTTTGGCTCAGGGTCATGATCTCATGGTTCATGAGTTCAAGCCCCACCTCTGGTTCTGTGCTGTCTGCACAAAGCCCACTTCAGATCCTCTGTCTGCCCTCCTCTCTCTGCCACTCCCCTCCTTTCGCTCTCCCCCAAATTAAGAAAAACACAAAAAACCAAAAACAAACAACTGTTTCTTTACTTCATTGGAAATTGAAAGGTCTACTGGATAGAAAAGGCTGGGACACTGGGTTTGGAAAATCTCTGCATAAGCAGCGGTATCTGAGGGTGCAACCAGCAAGGGGACAAACCCTACTGGCCTGAGATATATTTTCTGTTGTCACTGACTCGTTAGGAAACGTTCCCTTTTCCTGTGAAGAGCAGTGATTGGAAAATCAGGTTTCCCGACCCATGGGGTATTTCCTCAAAATCCTCAAATCGCGTACCTGAACTCAGGTTCAAATCATCAGAGCACACAGCCACAAAAAGTGTCTGAGCTTTTCCTGGAGGCTCTCACCTTTTTCTGTGGAAGACGTACAACATGATAACCAGTCCCCCCACTATCAGCAGGACGGCAACAGGCAGAGCGATGATCAGGTGGATGAAATTTTCATATGTTACTGCCGAGACAAGGGAAATGATAAAATATCACTGGGTGAACAAGCTGGTCCTCTTTTTTTTTTTTTTTAAGCTGGAAATATGAAAAAAAAAATCCCCCCAAATTCCTTGACTGCCCTATCACAAACTAGGAATTCTGAAGGTAAATGGTATTGGATAGGACACAGCAAAAACCTCTGAGTTATCTGGGGGGGGAGGGGGGTGGAGATAAACTAAGTGTGTACTGAGGAGTATAGTCATTTTTAAAGTACAGTGTATTCCTGGGGCACCCGGGTGTTGAGCTCAAGTGGTTAAGCATCTGACTTTGGCTCAGGTCATGATCTCATGGTTTGTGAGTTTGAGCTCCACATTGGGCTCTCTGCTGTCAGTACAGAGCCTGCTTCAGATCTTCTGCCCCCTCTCTCTGCCCTTCCCCCACTCGTGTGCTATCTTTCTACTAAAAATAAGTAAATATTTTTTTTAAAACGTACAGTGTATTCTGAAATAACAGTTCAAATGGTGGGCTCAAGTGAAATAATATTTGTATGCAATTCAGTGACTGTTAATGTATACATATATATATAAATAAATTTGCTAAAATAAAATGAATAGATTTTTACATAAAGAGTGCTCAAGTGGTACTGATGCTTGTTTTTATTTAAGAAGAATTTTTTTTAATGTTTATTTATTTTTGAGAGAGAGAGAGAGAGAGAGAGACAGAACGCAAGCCGGGGAGGGGCACAGAGAGAAAGACACAGAATCTGAAGCAGGCTCCAGGTTCTGAGCTGTCAGTACACAGCCTGATGTGGGGCTTGAACCCACGAACTATAAGATCATGACCTGAGCCGAAGTCGGATGCTTAACCAACTGAGCCACCCAGGTGCCCCCTTTTTTTCCCCTAAGATAATTTTTTCAAATGTTTATTTATTTTGAGAGAAAGAGACAGAGAAAGTGCGTGTGTGTGAGCAGGTGGGGGGTAGAGAGAAAGGGAGAGACAGAATCCCAGGCAGGCTCCTCACTGTTAGTGCAGAGACCAACTCGGGGCTGGCTCCCATGAACTGTGAGATCATGACCTGAGCAGAAGTCAAGAGTCAGACATTTGACTGAGCCACCTGGGTGCCTTGACCTTTATCTGTTAAGATAGTTTCATAGACAATTAAAAAGAAAACAAAAAACAAAACAAACCCCCCCCCCCC